AAACACTTGCGAATCACCTTTATCATCCTACGAGATGTCCGAAAGCACTTTCTAAAAGTAACCTAAGTCCTTCTTCTGACTCTCTGCATGGTTTACACTTTCGTCAACAGTCAATTGGTTGAAAACGGTCAAATGTACCTGTCATTTATTTCTGTGATTGTATCGAAATTATGGATAAAATGCGAATGATTGATAAAATGCATGAGCAAGCTTCCATTTCATGTTGTATGTTTTCATGTTAACGAATTAGCACATATTGCCCACACACAGCACACATAAATGCGAAGGGCCCCGCAGCAACAACTCATTGCAGTGAAGGACGTTTAAGGTACTATGAGAACAAGAAGGTTAGCTTCAGTTCCTCAAGCGAGAAGATCGGATCGCATCTCCATCACTACTAAGGAGTTGCCCGAAAAGAGAAGAAAACTGAACCTTGATCCTACTGCAACACGTTTAACACGGCTAGTAATAAATACCAGCTGCAGAAGAGCTTTCCAGGAAGATCTACAACTGTACAAGAAGAAGGAAATACTGGAAGCAACAGAGGAACGAAGCAGTCTAAAAAAATGCCTTCGGGACTTCTGTGATTATAATGTTTCGCTGTCAGCCCTGATGAACGAAGATAGCATCGTCAAAACTTTCCGCCGTGATATGGAATTAATAGCGGAAACGTTCTACACCAACCTTTTCCGTTTCACAATCCCCGTCTCGGGCCCTTATCCCCGCTGGAGAAAGACCACCTGAAATTCCTCTGTCGGAGGTTCGAGTTACGATAGAAAGCATGAAAAGAGGCAAAGCTGCAGGACCCGATAATATCACTACCGATTTCCTTAGAGCTGAAGGCCGCAATTTACATGTACTTCTCGCAGATCATATGACAGGCTACCTTCAAAAGGAAAAAATCACAGACCAGTGGAGGGCGTCGAACACGGTTATCTTGCCCAAGAAAAGAGACCGAAGGGATCTTCGTAACTATCGCCTCATATACTTGTTGAGTGTACTCTACAAGCTCTCCACGAAGATTGTCCTCTCGTGCATACCAAGGACATTGGATGAGGCGCAACCAGTCCAGCAAGCAGGATTTCGAAAAGGATTTTGCTGCATAGACCACGCCCAAACCGTGTCCAGTGTCATCGAAGTTTGTCGGAAATACCACTTGCCTCTAGTCCTAACCTTTGCTGACTATGAGAAATCGTTTAACAGTATCGATACGAATGTAATCCTATCAACGCTCGTCGACCAAGGAGTGGACCCCTCCTACATAAGAACTCTGTCCGACTGTTATTGGAACTGCATTACGAAAATATAGCTTTTCCATCGACCTCTTACAATACCCATAAGAAAACGGGTTCGACAGGGCGACACAATATCGCCAAAGCTGTTCAGTGCCGCACTGCAGTGGATAATGAAGTCACTCGATTGGGATGAGAAAGGCATACGTATTGGTTGAAAACTTCTGTCAAACTTTCATTTTGCCGACGACATTGTCATTTTCTCAAGAAGTACTAGCGAAGCAGAAGTGACGATCAACGAGCTCAACGAAGCGGGGGAAAAGATCGGACTTCTCATAAATTGAAAGAAGACCCAGTTTATGAAAAACCCATGGTGCGAAGACGAAAATCATTTGGTGTACCGTTTCCTCAAATATCTTTCTCCCAAGCAGAAAAAAATTATTCCAAATTTGCAGACTCCGTAAGCGGCATGTTTAGTCGAGAGCATGAGATCGAACAAGTGACTATTGTAGAGCAGCTCCAATCACTTTCTACACACTATTTCATCCAATATATCTCTCCATCGACGTCAACTCTATGGCCAAAACTACTACTATTTTAAACACTTTAAGGGTAATGGAGAGAAAGTCCTCATTACAAAACCGCTGCAAAAAATACCTTCAGAATTTATTGGTAGCGAACGTGTTTTAGATTAACTCATTTATTAAGTGAGTTATAGGTGATACAGTTGTCAGGTAAAAGATTTGCAAAGCTTTTTCTTCAGCTATACTTAACTCCTAGTTCACTACAGTAATCATAATCTTGAGCTCAGGTGAAATCCTGTATTCTACCATGTTTCGGTGGAGATTACCTCCTAAAAAGTACAGTCGATCTCACTTTTGTTGTTGCTATAGATTTCGTCTTACTAAAAGGATTGGGCCTCCATTATGCGGGTGATTAAATGCATACGGGTGTTGATGATTTCTAGCATTTGCCTCACGCTCTCAGTTGAGGACTTCTCATTACCGCAAATTTCTTTAGCTCTTCTCTACGAACCACCATTCTACTACGATTTTCACCATTTAAAACTTTCGTGATTAATGAGAAATTCTAAGGATTTCTGTTGTTCCGATGTGCTCCGTGCTCAACTCTCCAAAGCCATTTTGTACAGGGCAACTATGTTCTATGATTTCATTAACAAGCCGTCGTGTTCGCTAACAAATGAGCCAATTACCTGATTTTTGTCAACAACCTTTCTCAATAACACTTAGGAACGGATTGTCGCCTTGAAAATATCCAGTGGCTGACACTCCACATTTTTTGCTCCATTCAAGGATACTGTCGTTTCACAAATGGTCTATTGAAGATACTTGTTAAGTTACCGTGGATAAAATGCTCAGTTGTTGGGTTGATAGGCAGCGTTCGAGCACGTCCCATCTCCTATGTATTCTTTCTAGTGTTGTTCATGTAAAAATCATTACTATTGCCTAAACCAAGAACTATTAAGCGTAGATGATGGACAAATTAAGTTTTTGAGGCAGTTGAAGTGGGATGGCGAACAACCTCTACTATCTCGTCTTAGACGTCATAATTGTGTTGCTTCAACTCACCGTGATTATCTGCAACGGATTCATCGTTTTCTTGTTTGCCAGGTAAGCCTGACATAAAACATTGTAGCATGTGTAGAACTTCAATACTGTGAACGTACTCCTAACAGTAGAAATATGTAGGTGTAAATTTTCTTTCTTTTAAGGCAGAAAAATCTTTTGCAAAACCCCTCTCGACTGCTGGTAGCACTTCTTACCATAACTGACTTCCTCCATGCTATTACAAGTGAGTTGTCTTGTTTGACATTGAATGTTCCAAAAAAAAACTTGTTGCACACTTCGCTTTGATTTTCAGCTCTTCCATACACTATGTATCTTATAATTTCATGGGATCCAGTATATTTCAGTTTAAGCTGGCACTATCTAATGATCTCCAGTATTCCTGTTGTTATTCAACTGAAGATTAACCTCTCATTGAGTATTTCCATTGCTGTTGAGAGGACTTTGGTAAGATGCTTCTCAAAAATCGGTTCTTCGCCAAGTGCAAGACTCTTCAGGCTATGTACTCCCCAGTCATGTTCCGTAACGTGTCTTCCCGCTCGTATGCAATGTTCAGCTTATTGTTTGGATTTTTATTAGCGATATTCGATCTTGTTCTGGAATTCTCCCTCACGCCATTTAGTGACTCTCCAAACTGTGCCTCAGCCGGATGTTTTATGAGTGACAATTTCCGCTACTATTGGGGAGTCAGCAACATGGTGAATTTCCTTTTTAAAGTTATCCACATATCTTCTACACGTCTACTTTTAGGTGATGGGTATCATTGTGATTGTTTTAATGACCTTAATTCTCATTAAACTGCGGGCACTTCAGCACCAACCAAAACCACTTGGAGCTGTGAAATTGAGAAGCGACAGATTTAAACAGGTATTAGTGTCATTCGGAATGGACAACTCTTGATTTATAAAACTCAGGCCAATCGTCGAAGCGTTGGAATCCTTCTTATNTTGGAATCCTCCTTATATCCCTAATGTGTGTCACTCTTCCAAGCGCATTCGCTGTTCTAGCCAAAGTGAAGGGCTTCCGTGTTTTCAATGTCGTCGGTCCATTCTATCTTGTTGGGTTGCTCTGTGCCGGTCAGTCGCGTTGCTGCCTTGAGCGGAGAAACTGTATAGTTGAGAAATTAATACATATTATAGGTGCGTGCAATACTGTCATATACATTGCGCTTGATAAGGAAGTGCAAGAAGTGGCAAAGAAATTCATCACTTGCAAAGCGCCTTCTCTTTTCGTGAATGTGACCACTGTCAAATCTTTATTGAAGGTCTGAAGATAACCTTGCACATAGCGAACTCACTGGAGTCTGTTTTACTCCATATAGATCTGGAAAAATTTTTTTGTCTGTACTTTGGCTATCCTATGAGAGTGGGTGAATAATGGAGAAGAAAGGTTGAGAATAAAGCTTGAGTAAAGCAAGAGGAAGGAAGGAAAAACGTGTAAGCAGTAAGGCAACAGAGGCCGTGGTTTATAGAAAACAAAATTTCCTCATCTAGAAGGAATAGAAATGCTGGGTTTTTGATTGCAATGCTTTGACTTGGTGTGACGCCATTACAAAAAGGAGATACCTATGTTTTAACAACAAAACAAGTTGTTTGGCAAGTTAGTAAAATGTTATAATGATGAAATTCAGCATTCGACCACTCGAAAGTTCTTTTTCGAAAGTTTTCGAAAGAAAGTCGTCCTGCAAATTCTGATTCACTCATGATCACACTGTGTTCACCTGCGCCACCTGTCTCACTGTTGATCATGGAGTGACTCCAATGAGCGGCATTAAAATTCTCCATGTCTCCCTGCCTCCAGTCCTTGGCTTCTAATGCAATGTTCTTCGAGCATTCCAGGGCCAACCGTTGCGTAGAATCGTGGATAATATTTTTGGAAAGGTCATGTCTTCCTTGCAGATCTTTCTTTAGTCCAGATGACACGCTTCGTGAATGCATAGGCAGAAGACTTTGATGAAGACGAAAACGATAACTGCTGTTTAACCACATCCCTTCAACCACAAGCTCCAACTTTGATCGTTAGATTTTCGAAAGAATCGATACTCATAGCCAAGCATGGGTTGATGAAGATTCCAGCTCCATGGACTTATGTGTTGCCGCTCGCTTCGCAGCACATTTTTTTCTCTCGAGTTATGGGCGGCGTTAAATCGGTCGAGTCTTCCTGTTACAACCAGTTCGACGACGTCGCACCTAAGCCTCCTGTACCATTAGTTCTTTTGTACAGAATTCATATGTAGGCAAGCGATACTATGTTAATATTTTTACCTTCCTGAGTGTGCCATCGGTGTGTGTGGCACTCTAGTTTGAAGTGTGTTGAAATAATCACGCCATTTTTGGTTATACTCCGAGTTGTGGGCAAAGCTTTCATCCTCTCATGATTTGTGCCAGAACAGCAACAGGCATCATCTTCGCGATGTTTAACGATGTCCAGTGCATGGCGGATGTCTATGGTAGTGATCAACACCGAATGCTATTTATGCATTTTAATTGAAAATTCACATAACAAACCAAAAGTGGACACTCATATGGTGCCAGTGTCACGACGATTTATGACTTTTACTTAACCTTGGCACGGGCAATTAATGTCCATTTTTTTAAGGCTTCATGAGGTGGATATAAACCTCTGTTCTGGTAATGTTTTGGCGCCTTCTCTTTCCTAAGAGCCATAATGACTAGAATCGGTTGTCCACAGCCGTCCGACTCGTTGCGACTTCAAAGAACCTCGTAAGAAAGAATGGCTGTTGGCAACCAACTCGAATCAAATCATTCCGTGTCTGAAAAGTGAAAGGTGTAAAAACCTGCCGAGAATATAGACTGTGAATCTCAGGATAGCTTTTCAATAAAGAAAAGTAGGAATTCAGTGAGCAAAGCACAACAGGCCATGCAAGTGACCTTTGTCGAGGAAGTTACTTGTGAGTTGTACTTTGATAGTTGATACTTGAATGGCCCGTCCTCACGGGTTGTGCGGGCTCAGCATAATCTTCATTTTTTCGGAGTTTTGCTGGTTTAGCCATTGTGATTTCCTGGTATACTGAGTGCAGCCTCTCCAAGCCTTGCTCAGGTCTTCACCACCACAAGCAGTCGCAGTCGTTGTGCATCAGAGGAGATCTGCCACCATGTGACTTTGATACCAGGACGGTGGTGGATCCTGGTATTGGTTCACTCTTAGCTAGGCTTTCTGATGGAAATGGCGGACTCCTTCTCTGCTTGGGAAGTACTGCCAGCCGATGAATCCTCTGTTGTACCCACCTTGCAGTGGGCCACCCAAGAACACCTACCAGCGACGGCGAGGCGGTAAGCCGTAGCGAGGTTTGTGAATTATTAAGTGCCAAAATTAGAAAAATGTATTTAAAAATAAGCTACAAAGGTGCATTGAGCTCAATCTATGTCGTCCGAAGAAGATTCTTTCCACCCGAAGAGAATTTTTTTTAAAAAGTGCTATTGTTTTTCAGAAAAATGTCAAAATATTTAGCGCTGAGAAAAGAATACACTGAAAAACCCTCTCACCAAATAGTAGTTATATTTTGTCGATCAATGAACCAGTGGTTTTCCATTCGTTGGTATTGGAAAAGTTCGGACCCTTTCAGGACTCCCTTACTTCAGTGCTCACTAAGAATCAGCGGTGTTGAAAAAAAAACCAGGAGTTAATTTCGTGAAACCATTTCAGTAATTAACAAGTTTTGGTGATGTGGAAAAGGAAAACAGGAAGAGAATCTTTCCTTAGTTTTCAAAGCTATTAGTAATTCGCAACGTGTTCACCCGTCAAGACTGCTATCGTATATTTGTAGTGTACTGCTTTACTAACAATCAGTAGTTACCTGAATAACGAGAACAATTAAGGGCACTTAAATATATTAACTTTGCTCCTCTGTATTCACAAGCTTACACGAGCTTACTGTAAAACCCTATTATGACCAACGTATGGGTGCCATCGCCGTCTTCTAAGCTGCAATGATTCGGGTCGATGGTTTGCAGGTGCTCGTTTTTCTCCATGAATATAAAAAAGTATTAACAATTTATCCTGAGGCTAATTGGAAAACGGCTAGGTAAACATCAGATCTATTTGACATGCTAAAATGGCATAGGCAGCACAGTGGCTAGGGATGCGGTGCAATAGTAGCGTGTTGTCAGGACTTCAGGGGCCACAATATGTATTGCAAAGTTTTCCTCTGGTATGTTCGCCACAAGGGGGCGGATAGCCCTGTGGCAGTGATGCCAGTCATCACTAGCATGGTGCTACTTCGATTCTGCTCCGGGCCAACGAAATCTCGGGTAGGAAGATCTGTACCGAACTTGTCTGGGAAAAACCCACATTAGGAGACCCAATTTGGAATGCTCCAGCCCGGCTATCTCAGGACTTCAGGGATCATTTCTCGACCAGCATTCTACGACATTCAAAATGAAATGAAGATCCTCGAACAGCAGCCGAAGCCACACGCAAAAGTTGGAAGATCTTCGTTGACCAGGGATGCCAGGAAAGAGATCGAATGTGAGAAGTGCTGGGATCCGCACAGTTGTCGTAAAGATAGATCGAATAAAAAAGATAAAATAAATAAATAAACAGCTTAATAATATGTGGGATGTGTTTTCGGCAACGTAAATCAGAATTAAAAAAACAACATATCACGACGGCAACATGAATGTTGGACGTGATACAGAAGAAGACAACTTATCTCAAACTTTATTGACCAATTCTTCCAAAGCTCAAAATGTTTAACGATATCCGAACTTAAAGCTGTTAAATTGCTAACATCTGGTTACCTTTTAGGGAAAGTAAAGAAGCGAATAGAGAAACAGACTGTAGCAGAGAAGCTGGAAATATTTTTTAAACTCCGATAAAAGGGAACAGGTAACGCAGTGATAGTGACACCCCTTCATTTTCTCTGCTAACCCAATCTGCTGAAACCTTGATTCGCCATAACAATAACAAAGACGTCCAACCGTAAGCCTTGAAAGCCTAAGAAAATCTCCAGTCTTAGTGACAGGTGTGAGAAAGCAGTCGTCAACCATATGCGCTTCTGAGCGGCTGTTCGTCCTCAATGAAAGACAGGTGAAAAGAGCTGCTCTGAAGACGGCGACTCTGCCGAAACGTCAACTACGGTTGTGCTGTATATGTGTCATTGCATGGAAGTGAACGTATGCTGTTTAACAGCCTCGCGATTGCTGAGGAAGAAAACGACGAATTTATAATTCAGTGTCGAGGTTAATATGAAGTCGATTCTGGAAACCATTGCAAGTGAAATCATCATTTCGAGAATTTGAATTCAGGTTGCATTTTACCCAGTCACTGACCGCGGATTAACCAGTCGGCTAATGAACGTAACCGGAAAGCATGGTAATTTTCTGCATATAGTTTGAAAAAGACATTTTCGAAGAAAAACATAAACACGTTGGTGGATAAGGATGATATTCTTATTTTTAATCTTTATTCAATGTCCCCGTTCAATTACAGATAGTACAAGTGAACTTTAACGCCTGAAATAAGTGCAACACCGAAATCGCGGTGTCAGAGCGAAGTCCACGGAAAGGCTTAAACACTGCTTCATGGTCCATTCGTATAACAAGGACATCCATCCATACGCGTACGGATCAGAGGTTTTCACGTCGAAGATACTTATTCTCCCCTATCGCTCCCTCACCAAATTCGACACGATGCCGGAACACATATATGTATATATATTTATTTACTTATATACCGCAAGGGGGAGTGGTTGTAGTCAATCGTCTCGCAACGTGCTCTGAGGAAGGCGGAAGCGCGAAAGTGTTAGTCGAATAAAAGCTGTTGTAACAATTTTAGCTTAATCTTTCAAAAAACAACGGCTTTTTAATGTTATTTACACCATCTAGCTTTGCATTTATTGTGCAGATCTCAGCACATCCTGAAATCGATCGGTTTCCTCGCCACCATCATTCACGTCGATTCTCCAGCCCTTTCATAGGCTTACTAACGCTTTCACACGTAGACTGGAAATGTTTGGAGACTATAGCTAGGACTTGCCCCAAATCCTGGAACATAGAGAGTGGAAGGTGCGGTAAGGCCGATGTAGGCTCGAACCAGCACCACGCTTATGGTTTACAGCATCACTACCACTGCACTACCACCTCATCGTTTTCCAATTGAAGGGTCTTCCAAGAAAGAAAAAAAAATCAGATGTGCCAATGTGACAAAATCGTTTGGTCATATTTTTATGTAATGTGCAAAGGCTTTTGGAGTTGTGATGGAACACTATAAGCCTTGAATTTAAGAAGTTAATCTGGTCAAAGAGGTAAA